CGTTTTGTTTCTTCCTAAACTTGCAATCTCTAGCAAAATGCCCAGGTTTGCCACAAACAAAACAACCCTTTTTTTTTTTTTTTGTTATTCTTGAATTTTCCTTGATCCTTTTTGGGACTACGAAATTCCCTTTTTGACTATTGACTCTTTTTTAGTTATTGCTTTTGAAATAATTGGATTTGTTCACAATATTGACCCTTGCCTTAGAAGGGTCAAAATTTGTTTCCCCAGACTTGTCTTTTGAATGTGATTCTTCCTCAATATGAAGATGTTTATGAATCTCTTCTAAAGAGTAATCTTTGCTTTTATGAAGAATCCTCTTCCTATAACTTTTCCAAGTTGGTGGTGTAGACATAAAAATCTACCTGTATGGAAAGGGGGTCTGATCCTGTGAGGTTGAAGCCATTAGCGATCCGCTGTACCTGCACACGTAGAGAAACAAATGCGTGAAGTGAACGGGAAACACCAGGGTGGTGTTGGCCGTAGGCACTCCGACGCTCAAGTCAGCAAGGCTGAAAGAGACTAGTATAGTAAGGCCTAGGGAGTAGAGAGGTTACCGGAAGTCTAGTTGGGGACTGTGACTACGGTAGTGACTTCCGGTAGTGATGTGAAGCTCTCAAGTAAGAGCTTCAGGTGTGAAGGTGTAATGTAATGTCTCTTGTGAGAGGGCTGACCTCTGTTTATATAGTGACTGTCTGGTCTCCCAATCCTAGTGGGAGTAGGAGTCCTAGTGTGATTCTGATGCGAACCCTAGAGGAATTAGGGCGGTGGTGAGCTGTCTTACCAATGTTCGAGTAGGAAAGTGATCCGAACAAGAAAGTAACCTCGAATAGGAGATTGATCCCGAATAGGAAGGTGATTTATGGGTGCCGTGGGCTCTGAACTCGCTCATAGGTCTAGGAAGTGAATTGGGATTGGGAGGCTTGTGCTCGGATGGTTTGGACCGACTGTATCTTGTATAAAATGGGCCTAATCCGGATGGGACTGCATCGGGATTGGGCCTGGTCTCTTCCTTATTCAGTCCCGTTCTCTTATTTGGGCCAATGATGATTTTTGGCCCTAACAGTTTGTCCCCTACTCTCTAAGTTAAGTTTTTCTTAAGTCAGAAAGTGAGAAGCAATCGAGACGCGCTTGGTCTCCCTTCCTAGACAACTGATTATCGACGTAGCTAACCAGTTTGATGTAGGTGATTCGTAGTCAAGGGTCGCTCGGTATCAAAGCTGATTGGAATGTGCAATCACCCCAAGAGGGTGTGCCCAATCGGTGTGAAGGGTTGAAGGGACTGAGATAACAAGACTTCTGAGGCTCACATGCTCGTTTAGTGTGTCCTGCCGACTGAAGAAGTGAACTAAAATCCCATGACAGGGGTATTCGTTGGCATGTCGGGTCAAATGAGTTGGAGACAATGTTAAATTGAAGGTTCGTTCGGTTGGGGTACTCCGGTGATCGAGTGGGATGGAATCGGCTCGGCCGGCTTGTTTGACCATGAGACTTGCGCTTGTGATTCCACGAGGCTCTTTACTGGATGCCAAAGGGCCAAATAAAATGCGCAAGCATTTGACCCATGGCTGTCCACTCATTCGCTATGGAAGACCGAATGGGCGAGGGCCTTTGGCTTGATCGCCTCGAGGGTGAACATGTGCTAGACTGCTCCTAGCCAGTCGCCCCGATTGGGAGAATCTCCTGGACGTGAAGCATGGGAGCATCGGCTTCGTTGTGGGAGCCAGCGTGTTGCAATGTGCTGGCTCGGTCGGGTAGGAAGGGCGATTGAATCTTTAGATAGGTTAAGTTTGTGTGTTGATCGGTGGCGTGGGGTGAGGTGAGTGGTGATAGTCAAAGTTTGAAAAGACCAGGTTGGTCGGTGGTATAGGGAGAGTGGTGATCTAATACTTGGTTCTTGGGGAGTGAGGATGGTGGAGTTGAGTTGGTCAGTCGGTCGGGTAGAGTGAAGATCCAATACTTCGTTTCTGGGGAGTGAGGATGGTGGAGTAGAGTCAGTCGGTCGGTCGGTCGATTGGGTAGAGTGGAGATCCAATACTTGGTTCCTGGGGAGTGAGGATGGTGGAGTCGAGTTGGTCGGTCGGTTGATTAGGTAGAGTGGAGATCCAATACTTAGTTCATGGGGAGTGAGGATGGTGGAGTCGAGTCGGTCAGTCGGTTGGGTAGAGTGGAGATCCAATACTTGGTTCTTGGGGAGTGAGGATGGTGGAGTCGAATCGGTCGGTCGGTTGGGTAGAGTGGAGATCTAATACTTGGTTTCTAGGGAGTGAGGATGGTGGAGTTGAGTCGGTCTTGCGGGTGTGGGCTCTCTATCTCTTGGGCGTCTTGATCTCGAGACTGGGGTGGATCGGATGAATGGGGTTCTGTTGGCAGATCCTTTCCTCCATGAGTCAAGATCAAGTCGTCGACCATCGATGAACTTAATGGACGTGGCCTTTTATCGGAGGTCGAGGATCTGTGCTCTGGGGTTTGGAGAGGTTGCATGGATGAAACTGGGGCGCGGAATCGATTGGGAGGTACTTGGCAAGGCAGAAGCTCCAGATCATAGAACTGACTCACCTTCTCTTTAAGAAACTGGTTTTCGGCCCTGAGGATGCGTTTTCGATCCGGATTGCATTGTTCTCGGCTTCCAGTATGGCCACCTTGTTTGAATTTTGTTGTATGAGAGCGGTCAGAGCCTCCAGTCTAGCCTCGAGGCCAGAGTTACCATGAAAAATTCCTCTACATAGCAAGGTTCGTCGAGCCGAATGATTGCTAGAGGCCCCACGGTGGGCGCCAAACTGTAGACGTAAAAATCTATCTATACGGAAGGGGGTCTAATCCCGTGAGGTTGAGGCCACTAGCGATCCACTGCACCTGCACACGTAGAGAAACAAATGCGTTAAGCGAACGGGAAACACTAGGGTGGTGTTGGCACTGCACCTGCACACGTAGAGAAACAAATGCATTAAGCGAACGGGAAACACTGGGGTGGTGTTGGCCGTAGGCATTCCGATGCTCAAGTCAGCAAAGCTGAAAGAGGCTAGTATAGTAAGGGCTAGGGAGTAGAAAAGTTATCGGAAGTCTAGTCGGGGACTGTGACTACGACAGTGATGCGAAGCTCTCAAGTAAGAGCTTCGAGTGTGAATGTGTAATGTAATGTCTCTTGTGAGAGGGCTGGCCTCTGCTTATATAGTGATTGTCTGGTCTCCCAATCTTGGTGGGAGTAGGAGTCCTGATGTGACTCTGTTGCGAACCCTAGAGGAATTAGGGCGGTGGTGAACTGTCTTACTAGTGTTCGAGTAGGAAAGTGATCCAAACAGGAAAGTAACCTCGAATAGGAGATTAATCCCGAATAGGAAGGTGATCTGTGGGTGTCGTGGGTTCTGAACTCGCTCATAGGTCCAGGAAGTGAACTGGGATTGGGAGGCTTGTGCCCGGATGGTTTGGGCTGATTATATCTCGTATAAAATTGGCCTAATCCGGATGGGGGCTGCATCGGGATTGGGCTTGGTCTCTTCCTCATTTAGTCCCGTTCTCCTATTTGGGCCAAGGACGATTTTTGGCCCCAGCAGGTAGTAATTTTGCAATTATAGCACCATGTTGAAATGGTTCAAGAAGTTCTATTTTGACAGTCTTCAACTTATTGACAATTATTTGTAATTCATGAATTTGAGGCAAGATAGGTTTATCATCAAGAAATTTAAAATCAAAATACTTAGAAATTAGAAATTTCTTGGTACCTTCCTCCTCAGTTTATACTTGAATTCCAGAGCATCTCATATCTCCTTGGCAGATTTCGTGTTGGTGTAGAGATCATAGAGTCTGTCTAACAAGGCATTCAAGATGTGTCCACGACAGATTAATTCATCATCTTCCTTCTGCTTGTTGGTTGCCTTCATTTCATCGGTGTCTTCATCAGTGGGCTCTGGCAGTGGTGGCAAATCAGGATCGAGAATATAGATGATCTTCAGAGCAGTAAGTAGAAAACTCAATTTGTCCTGCCAACTAGTGAAATTTGATCCATCAAAATGATCAAGTCGCACCAAATCTTGATTCATCAATTTGATGGTTGAAACTATTGTTCCAATCTCCATTGAAGTGAATATTGCTTTTTGATTGTTGGGGATATTAAGTGAAGAGACTTGAAACATGTAAGATTACACTTTTCAAAAAGCGATATTTGCCCCCTCTAAATTGCTTGTAGGGTTCTAATGCAAATAGCTTTCAGGATATGACAAGCCTTTTGTGAATTTGCACGAAGCTATAATGAAAATTCACCAAATGAATAAGAGAATGTTCTTGGGTTTTCTAACAAGTTCAGATAGAGAAGAAAAAGAAGGAAGATAATATTGGTTTTGATTTTTTGTATATATTAAAAGAACTTCCTTCTTGTCTTTATATAGAGTTTGAAACATTGCATTGTTTCATGAAACAATGCCTTTTGAAACATTGCATTATTTCATGAAACAATTTGTCTTTTGGTTGTATTGTTTCATGAAACAATGCCTTTTGAAATATTATATTGTTTCATAAAAACTCAGAAAAATTTTCTTTTAATTTTATAAATAACCAATTTCCAACAACCCAAGCTTCACAAACAAATGACATTTTCTTCCTGAAAACGATTCTTCAGGAATACAAGTCAATTCCTCACTGGGGGAAAAAGTCTTATGTCATCAATGTGCATTTACTGAAAACCAAACTTGTTCCAGAAGTTGTTTCACAAGTCTCCCCCTGTCCCCGCAGAAGCTCGTCTCTCTTCTTCGTTCAAGACTTTTAACCTTTTTAATTTTTTGCTCGTCCGAATGACCGGAGAAAGAACCAATTCTTTAAGCAAATTATACATTTTCTTTTTAATGACTCCTGTTTTTGTTAAATTTGAGAACATACTCTGTTGCATGTTATGATTAATCACTAAATAGATCTTTATTTAATATTCTTTAAATTTTAGATATACTGAAACAACATTTATATACATTGAAAATCAGCACAAAATGATGAATTTAGATGATAGGATCTTTCTGAATAAGTGCAATGTACTCTCGTTTATTTTTGTTTGATTTTGGAAGATTGTTTTAATTTGCCAAAATTACGCCTACTAAGCGTTAGATATGCCAGGTTCAGGAAAATCTCAGGATTTATATTTAGGACAAACTAGACTCCAGAAGTTTCACAAACTCATTAAAATCTATGCGGCTATCTCTGTCCTCATCGAAGGCATTGATCATCTTTTTGCATTCCGCTTCTGAAGCCTGTGTAAAATTTAGTTTAAAAAGAACATTCCTCAGCTCACCTGTATCAATGAATCCATCATTGTTCTCATCGAAAAGGCGAAAGGCGTCTTTAACTTCTTCCAGGCTCACCTCCTCTTCCGCAAACAGAGAAGCAATCTCGCTGGAACTTGATGTCTCTCCAAGTGCGATCAGTTTCTCCATCGTCATGTTCACTTCTTCAATGGATAGTTTCTCATTGGCATATAAATTTTCAGATACGCAAGGCTTGATGATCTCTTGATTCTCTTCAAGTTTCTTGCTCACCTGTTGTTGTTGCACTGATCCTGGTGACTTCTTGTTGTCAAAGAAAAGTTTCCAGATTTTCCTGATGAAAAGGGAAAATGTATGCAGGAAGAATAGGATCATAAAATTAAGACGAAAGAAGCAGTCCTCAAGGATAATTTTGACAAAGTTCACAACTATCAGAATAAAAACAATTTCAACAAGTGAATAAGGGATGTAACAAATACTATCCATCATCATCTCCATATTAATAAGTAAGATAGCAGAGTTAAAAAAATTTAAAAGCTTGGCAAAGGGTAGATTGAAAACTAATGAGGAAATTAGTGTTACCGAGCGAGGACTGGATTATAGGAAACTGGGAGTCTTAATAAGTTAATATATATCAATGGAGCGTGGGGGAAGTCAAGTCTTTGATGGAAAAGATGGAGAAAATTCATAGCATTTTAATGCCAACAGCTACAGCCATAATTACTGAGCAGGTAGCTTAGTGGCTTGTAGTATGCTAATTCGATTTAAATTTCCTCTAAACACTCGTTTTTTGTTCGTGGAGTGGGTTCAGGGTCATCTTCCGGACAATTTCCGGGACATGAGTGGGAACCAATTATCTCAGTATTCTAATGACCTGGGAATATAGAGACTTTTAAAAGTTCTAAGGTCTACATATTACTGGAAAATTCGTCTACAGTGCCGGTGCATTATTGATACTTTTTTTTACAAGTTTATTGTGATTGATGCTACTAATCAAATGTTGACTTGCATTTACTTCACCAAAATTAATAATAGACCCATAAAAATTGCATAAATTAAAAGAGTTCAGTAACGATATTATTATAATGTTACATGATCATACATATATTGTTATTGTGACGATTAATCATGTACTGAATGAAGACGTAATTTGAAACATTGAAGAGAAATTAGAAGTGGATTTGGTGTGAAGGCGGTGCCTATCCATCTACCAAATTGCAACATAACTTATAGTTGAATTCAGTTAGATAAGGAAAGAAACAATAGAAAATTTCTGTGTGTGTTTCACTTCATACTATTATTATATTTATGTGTATTTTTATAATATAAGACTTATTCTTAGGGTTTACGCATGACTCTTTGAGCTCTTAAATTGCCATGAAACTCTTCTGTAGAAATTGAAGAAACCATTCTTTACTTGGGTATGAGAGAAAGCAAAAGGTAAAGTAGAAAAGGAGCCAACCAGGAGTTTAGTATATGAGCTTAAAAATTAAATTAAAGAGAATGAAATTTACATAGTTTGATGTGTGACGAAAGTTTGTGTTATGTCAACAAAATGGCTTTTAAAACGTAAACGCTATCTCTACTCATCCACATTTTATCCGTGGATGTGGAAACATGTTTGAGATGCATGTGAATGCACTGACTTTGACTTTGACAAGTAATTTAATCACCTATAAAACCCTCTACTTTGTGCCTTCCAATTAGCTTTAAAATGTTCATCTTCATAACCACCATATTGTCTCCAAAGTTTATAATGGATAAAAGATTATTAATGAAATAATTAAACTTTCATCATACAATTCTTGCAACATACATACATATATACAAATTACAGAATAATTTATCATGATCTCCCTTTTGATTCTTGAGTTGATGAGGTTATATTTTGTGAAAATTTTAACATATTTGTTCAAATGTAAGATACACTTTAAATGTGGTCCATTAAAATATAAATAATATTATTATGGTTTAATAATAAATTGAAGATTATCCAATTATTTATTTAAAAGTTACACACGTTGATGACACCTATATTTAAGGATAGTTTATTTCTTAAAAACTTAGTTCTCTCTCTTTCTATTAAAGAAAACCAGAGCGTACTTTCTCCATCACTTTTAGCAAAACAAATTTTGGAAATTTAAAGAAGAAGAAATGAAAGAGAAACCAGTATTCTTAATCACATAAATCATAATAAACTAGTATCATGACTCAAGGTATGTCTTTTCTAATTAACAGTTTATTATTGCTTTTATAACATGTAAAATTCATGAAATTCAAAGATCCTAAATTTTAATGTTTCATGTAAATTTACTTGCACAAAATATTACTCAACTACCATTGTCAAGCTCAGCTTTAATGTAAAAGATATATACAAGAAAGTTGAAAGGAATTTAATGAGAAAATGATAATGTATTAGTTAGGAAAGAGAATTCCTTAAAAGGATAAAATTGCAGCAACCACTCTTTTATGGCGTGGATTTTTCTCAGTTGCTTCTTCAGTTTTCATGAGAGAGAAAATGAAATATCCCCCAGGAACACTTACCCACCCCAATTGTTCTTTTCTCCAGATCTCCAAGACCAAAGCCCTAACCTCCCAAGAGCAAGAAACCCAAAACCCCTAAATTGGCAAGACCAGCGCAAAATTGACATGTGGCGCAAGCTGCGACAAGAGGATGACCAACGCTTGCAAAATGCAAATCAGCAATTCCACCGTTGAATGTCGGGTTCAAACAGCAGAAGTTGGGGCCTCACATAGGCTGCTTACATGAAGGAGGCGGTGACCGGTGGTGCTACTGGCATAACAAGTGTAAGCTAGAGGCAGTCAAAAAGTCATGTTTTCGGATAACTATGACGCCGTTACTAATTCTGTTAATTCATTGGACAGAAATGTAGTAAATGACTAAAAAGCCCTTAACTTTAAGGGTGAAGAAGAGGGTAAAAGAGTAAATAATTTATTTTAATAAAATTAAACAAACGAATAAAAAGTTTAAAAAAAAAAAATCTTAATTAAAAAATTTAAAACTAATCCTCTGCTTTCATTCTCTTCGCCCCCCATCGCTCTTTCCCTCTCCTTCTTCAAACTCACTCTAAGCCCTTGTATTGTAGTTGTAGTCCTTTGGGATACAAAGCCTTGTTCTTTTATGAACTCATATTTTGTTTTCACAAAATACTGAATTTAGAATCATAGAAGAGAGAAAATTTTAATAAAATATTTATTTTTTTGCTTTTCTCTTTTATCTTTTATGTACACTTTCATAAAATAAAACTTCAGTCTCAAATCAATATTTTAATCACAAAATTGTATATAGAAATAGAGAAGAATTGACATATTTGAGACAAATTCCTCAAAATAAATGATAATTCAAATGAGTTTTATTGTTGTATAGGCGATACCTTTTGTATTTTTTGTTTATTTTCTTTGTGTTTTCAGGTAAATATGCAAAACACATTTTGTTTTTCACGTTTTCAAAGACCATTTTCAAATAAATATGCCAGCCACCTTTTCATTTTTACATTTTCTAATCATTTTCAACATTTTGAAGACATAAAATTCATAAAAGAATACACTTAAACATCCTCTTTAGTCTTTATAAATTGTAATTCTAGTTTGAAAGGAGTTAAATTTGATTAAATAACAAAAATCTTCCTAAGGTTTCCAAAATAATATAATTTCATCTCCCACTAAGTTTCACACACTGATATAAAAGAATTTTCCTGAAAAGACAATTTAATAAATATTAATTAACTCATAATAATGTAAACTGTAACCACTTATTAATAGAAAATTTTTATAGTTACATCAAACCTCAAGGGCGTATGTCTTAATCTCTTCTAGAAAATAATTATATATGATTTTTAAATTACTTTTATAATTTTAATTTATTTTGTTTAAAACACACTCTTTTCTTCACGTGAAACTCTCACTACAATTATGATTATTTCTTATTAGTTAACTAGACATGAAGCCCACGCGTTGCGCTGATATGTTTATTCAATGTTTTTGAAATAAATTGTAAACAAATTTATTCGAACAAAATAAAATAATTAGATTAAGACATAATAATTGTTAAGAAAGTTGTGTTAAAAAAAAATTAATAATTATCCGTGTATAATTATTAATATTAATTTTAAGTAGATGTCATTAAATCATTCATCCAACTTGAGAAAATCACCTGAATATTATATGATCTAATTATATTTTCAGGATCATCACTTTGTATAATTGATATTATTTTTGAAGACACGTCTTTGATATTTGATGTCAGTATTTTGTAGTGAATCGTTTATGATATTTAATATCACATGAATATTATCAAGATCAATTATTTAAACTTAAAATTTATATTGATCTTCCGCAATTTCTATAACTTATATTCATTTTTAAGTTGCGTTGCGCGAGTATGTTTATTATATATTTTTTTACATTATTATTGGTATTTTTGTGCTTTAAATATATATAGTTTCTATATTGAAGTTCATTTTATACTAAATTGATAATTAAAAAATCAATAAATGAAATATCCACAAATTGAACTCAAAGTCTATATCATCATAGTTCTTCTCAAATATGTCACTGTTTGACATCTGCAACAAAAGTTTAAAACTTTGTCAAGAAAGGCAAAAAAATTTGCAAGATAACCCACTGGGTATTATTGATAAGTCTATAAATCAATCAGAACAAGAGAAACCTGTTTGAAAAATGTGAACTTTTAAGCAAGAGACTTAGAGAGCCAAAGCTGATTTTGATTGTTGAGAAAAGAAAATGAATTATGTTTATTATTATTATTTTAGAAACAAAAAAATTAAGAATGTTGAGAAGAGAACTCACATAGAAAGCAACAACTCCAACAGTATAATCTGAGGGCAAATTAATTGAAGCATTGAAAAAGCCATGAAAATAAAGGTAGTGACACAAATCCATTTGTTGCAATTGGAATTGACCACCACCTATAGCAAAAAAAAAACATTTAATGATAACATCCTAAAGAAAGACGATAATTGTAAAACCCACAAATCAAACAACAAAATCAATCCAAAAATCAACAAAAAGAGATATAACAAATATAATTAAAACTATACATCAATATTAGTTTTCCTTTGTCATCAGTAAAATTAAATTTGTTTTATATGTGTGATAATAAAATGAATAGTTTGCTAGTAGGTCTATAGTTATTCAAATTCATCATATAATATATCAAATTAAAGTCATATCTTTCTAGTTTCCAAATATTCAAATCGCTCATCAATTAGATTTTTATTGAGCAAGTTATGACTAATTTACTATTGACTGCTCAGTGGAAATCGAGAAATAGGGGAAACCGAAATGTGTGTGATGATAAAAGAAATGGTATGAAAGTGAGGCTATAGTTATCCAAATTAAGCGTATAATATATTAAATTAAATCCATATCTGTCTAGTTTTTAAAGATTCAAACCTCTCATCAATTGGATTTTTATTGAGAAAGTTATGGTCAATGTATTACTGACTATTCAGTGGAAATCAAAATATGTGTGTTGATAAAAGAAATGGTTCGACAATAGGGATGCAATTATCTAAATTAAGCGTATAATATATCAAA